TGTGGGAGTCTTACATATTTAAAGTTCGTACTCAGCTAAAAACTTTTAATGTAAGTATTAAATACTATAGCAATTATTATAATAATTATATAAATAAATAAATATAAATATAAGTGGGATCATTTTATTTTGTAGGAGAAGACTGTTGTAAACAATAACTTGGTGGCTATTTCAGAAATTGATTATGTAGCTGAGACTAATCATTTATGTGAAAAAATAAATGAATTAGAAAAATTGTAGTTTTCTTTTTATATGTATGTTGTTGATGGATGTTTTTTACTTTATGAATTTAATTTTTTAATTTGAAATAAAATTTATTATTGCTAATTTTAATATAATAATTTAAGTGATTGATGTAAACACATTTTTTAATTAAATATTATATGCAATTGAAAGTATTGCCTCTTTTCTTGCTTTGGTGGTGGTGACAACAAAACATTTGTGAGATTTAATCTAAATAAATCATAAATAATAAATCATTTTTAATTATAAAATCATTCTAGTCTTCATATCCAATGTTATTTATTATTCTATATTATTCTAACAAAGCATCTACTTTTTTTTAATATATTGTCTTGCTCTATTTATAACATTTTAAGTGACAATCAATGATATACTTTAAATGAAGATCACAAATGTAACAATCTTTAATCTTCGATCGGTATAATAATTCTAGTCGAAATTAGGCAATTAATCTATACCATATTCGGTAATGTAGAAAAACTTGTTTTGTTTAAATTCGCTATTACTAATTTGGCAATCGGGATTATTGCGTTTTACTTCGAAAGAATTATGAATATTATTTTCCATGAATTATTATTATTTTTATTAGGAGTTTTGGTGATGGTGTATAATTATTATTATTATCATCAGTTATTTTTTACCTAATCTGGAGTCTTCTGGCAATGTACACTTAATTTTAAATTGATACACAAATTTATTTTTTTACCCTTACATTTTTCATTAAAAAACTTTCAATCAATTCTTTTATAAAAATGGAAGAAGGAAATGATAATGATGATTGTATAAAGTAGTGACAGATTAATCAGAAAATAATATTAAAAACCCAACTACAAATTATATAGATGTTGTTGATGCCATTGAACAACAAATTATAGTTAATGCACACAATAGATGTCCCATTGATGAAATAAAGGATAGTCCTATTCATAAATTTTAGTAACCCATAGTAAACAAGATGAATCTATTACAGGATGCACAGTTAATCTTGACCAAGGAACAATTCAATGAGATAACCAAGATAACTATTTTAAAACTAGGTCATGTATAATAGATGTTTCAGATGATAAATATATGCTTCTTCTTATATGGAGTGGTTATTATAAAAGTATTGAATTGAATTTCATGATTCCTGGACATACCAAATTCAAATGTGATGGTAATTTTGGGATGATTAAAAAACTCTACAGAAGAACCAGAGTAGATTGTCTGGGTCATGTGGTTGAGGTAATAAAAAAGTCTAGTCCAGCAGGATTAAATAAAGCTCAGTGTTATAAAGGTGGAAAAGATTTTCAATATTTAGATATTAAAGCAATTTTGGGAATTTATTATCAAGTATCCAGAAGTATCAACATTTTCTTTTTGAAGCATCTAATTTTGGTACAGTGAAAGTTCAAAAAGTTGCTAATGGACCTTTTACTGAATTCAATTTATTGAAAACCAAGAAAGCAGATATCTTTGAAGAAATTAGAGCTTTGTCTATTTTAGTGTTAACACCATCTCCTTTGGATTACAAAAGGCAAGAATATCTTTACCAGAATATTCGCCCATTTGTTAGAGATGAATTCAAAGATATTACTTGTACAAAACCAAGATGAATGCATTAAAATATATCTATATATGCAACTATAATAAAATATGTAACTCTTTCTCATGACAAATCCCCAAGAATATGAAAACTAGAGATGTTAATTGGTCCTAAACAGTTCAGGACAGTCCTGGGACTGGCAGTCCTATCTTGGGACTGGACTGGACTAAGTCCTGGGACTTAAAGTCCTAAAAAGTCCCAAGTTTTTTTAAACATATTATTATTGAAACTAAAAAAACTTGTTATTTTATTATTATAAAAAATATATATATACACACAAAAACGAACAAAATAAAAAAACCAAAATTAAATTGAAACAATTTCTGCTTCAATCCAGCTCTTTACATATAGACTTGCTTGTGCTTTTTCTAAATCCAACCTATTTCGAATTGGATTTAATATATGTTTGGCAATGCTAAAAACATTTGCTCACTTGACACACTTGTGGCTTGTATTGAAAAAAATCTTTTGCCATATGTGACAGAGTTATATAATTAGGATCTTTTATTCTTGATGCATACCAATCCAAACATTCAATTTCTTCTGGTGGTGCATCAAAGTACCTTCTAATAATAATTATTTGCTTTGGACTCTTTTTTCAAACCTTATTGTGTCATACTGAATTTTTGAGGTTCAAACAAAATCAGAACATAAGGTTACACATGGACCTTTTAGGACTTTAAGTCCCAAATGGCAGGACTGGACCTGAAAAAGTCCAGTCCGGACTGTTCAGGACCTGGTCCCAAAAGGACTGATTAACATCCCTAGTATTTTTATTGTTATTGTTGTATTTTCTGATGTAATTTTTGTTTTCTAGGTTTTTGATGATTTCAATTTCGATACTGCTCCTGCTACTCACCAAATGATAGCTCATAATACTCCTGATGGTTACTCTGACATAGTTTTTATTTGTAGTGAATGTAAAAGAGATTACAACAATGACACTCTCCCATGCTGTGAAAAATGTGATAGGTTAAAGAAGAACAGAAATAGGTGCTTTTGTAGTCATTTAAAAGCCAAATCAGCTAAACCACTTTCTGATAAAGGACTACTTTCACAAGCTTTTAGTTCTCGTCTAGAAATAAAACTAGAGAACTAGAAAGAGAGTTATCAAACTGCCAAAGGAGAATCAAATATCGAAAGGGAAGAAGTAATTAAATTTCAGGAAAAAATCTGAAGAATGAAGCAAAAAGCAGAAACAAGAATTATTGGATAAGATTAAACAACAAGAAGCAGAAAATATTAAATTAACTCAGAAAATTGAACAATTGAAAACTTTAACCCCTCAAGAGTTAGTCATCAAAAATATAAAAAGTCTCAAATATTATTTTGGCAATGGTTCTATGCTTGCAGAAAAGTTCATATATAACAATAAATTACACGTTTCATGTGTGAATTATGAAGGGTAAACAGTTTATAAGTTATAGAAGTATCGAAGTTTTATATTGTTAAATAGATAAATTTTTTAGAATTTTTTGTAAACAAAGCTCTGTGTACTTCTTTCAAGATATTTTTTATAAGTGCTGTTGCCATCACCTTTACAATTTCTTCCCAAAAGCAACCAACTATATTCAGGATTGTTATGCTTTTCCCTGAATGACGAAAGCATGGAAACTCAAATTTTTTGGGTTCTTTATTTTTAATTTGCTTTCCCACCAAAAATTTTGCAAATGGAGAATACTCAACATGATTGTTGTTCCACATATTAATTAATATTAATGTGTTTCTAATAGTGGACGTCGTATGTATATATAGTAAGTACTCATAATAGGTTCTGGTTCAATAAATATAATATCCATTTTATTTATTTTATTGACGCAATGAAAATGTAGAAATAAGAAATTATTTTGATTTATTTAATTAGCTTGTACTAATAGTAAAATTTTAATTGTGATTAGCGATAGTCAAAATAAATAAAACAGGTTGTGAATTTGTTTTTATAGTGAGTGATATTTGTTATTTACCGTTGTCAATTCCACCTATTATCCATCAAATATTTAACTAATTCAGTCATTACATCGTTGTAATCTCCTATACGAAGAGCAACAGACAAAGAATTTACAAAAGATTGGTGACTCGTTGACTGATAATTTCCGGCGTGATTAGGACAAGAAAAACGCCAATTCATCATCTGATCAACATTCGAACAACCAGTACATTTAATATGAGCACGATTGGATATTTCCATGGAGCCGGTCGAACAGCCGGTATGAGCACGGTTGGATATTTCCATGCAGCACCTATTTGTTGTATGGACCCAATTGTAGATATTCTGATTTTGACATTCAACTACTGGACAGGGTATTCTTAAAGGTACGAATCTTTCACTCATGTTTTGTAATGACAA